CTCTTGGAGCAGCTGGTGGGTTTGAACCTCTAACCCTTCAGTTAGCTGCCCGAGGGTTAACCTCCTGTTCTTTACTAGCCTCATAGAAAGATCTAAACATGTATTTGCGTCTCTAAACTCAAAATAGACCTTCCCTGAAGGATTTCTCTCTCTCTCTCTTTCTTTCATTAAGAGATGCCCTCTTGGGTTGAAACTCCCAATGTCTACCTTTTCATTTTATTTGCACTTTAGTAAGAAGGTCAATTCTGTAAGCAGGACCAAGGGGCAGTGAATGTCATATGGAACTTGGAGAAATAAGTTCTGTGTGCAAACCGGAGCCCCATCTGCCAGATTCAGGCGACCCATGGCACGTCAGCCTCCAGGAAAGACGTGTCAAACTTTCTCACTGCCCACTGGTCTGACAAACCAGGGTGGGAGTATCCTTTCTTGAAGCCTCAAAAAAAAAAAAAAAAAAAGAGAGAAAGAAAGAAAGAAAGAAAAGATGATCTGGGGAGGGTGTAGGAGAGCTTTGGAAAACCACCCGAGAGGACTGGCTTGGATCTCAACCTCATTGATGCCATTGGTTTCCACGAAGGGGCAAATATTCTCCGAAATTCAAATTTCAAAAGTATGCAGTGATATGCCTTTCAAATATCTTTTCCTGACTAATGATCCTACGTGACTTCAAATGGTACTTGATAGAAGAAGAAAACCCCCCAAACAAACAACTGCAGTGGCATTTAAACAAATGATACAATCCGTGGATAATTTCCTCCGAATAGCTCAGAGATGTGACTGAATGACTCATACATCAGGGCAGGAAGCAATTTCCCTCCGTGCGTTCTACCTGCTGAAGTCTCGGTGCATCACAGATCGGGTCAAAGCTCTCGATTGGAATAAGAGGGAAGCCAAATCTACACCCGGAGGGGGAGAAGGCTGCGCGTATCTTTGGAACTTGCTATTTCCCAGGAGCGATCCTGCGACACTCGTCTCAGTGAGCTAGGCAGGCTCGCAAGGCTTCTTCACACGTTTCCTCTCTAACCGGCAGTGGCTACGCCGCACTTTAACCTTGCTGTGGTCTGTCCCCTGCTGAATGGAAGCACTGAGCCCAAGAGACAAGAGAGCCGGCCCCCCACCCTGCTCTTCCACAAGCAGATTCTGCTCCTTCATTTTTCTCTGCCCCAGTTTCCTCATCTGCACCTATCCTTGCAGTCAGAGTTGGCCTTCCTGTAATAAACTGCCTAGTTGTAAGGACTGATGAACACACATGCATATTACTCAAGCATTTAGAGTCTTCGATGTGGGGCATCTTCAGCATACTTAGCCACAAGCTTGTTGCTATTGGTCCAAATGTCTAATAGGCATTTGATACAGGAGTCGTATTATTATCACCATGAACAATTTAGGGCCTTTCTGTGCCCTAGTTAAGGTCGATGAAGTGCCATTTTGGAATTAGACTCAAAAATATGTTTGTATTTCAGCCCTTCTTGAGCTCCCTGAAGCTTCATAAGCATCGGATCAAACAGAACACACTCACTGTCATTCAGTTGGTTCTGGTTCTTAATTGCCTTATAGCACAGGCAGAACTCCCTCTGTGGGTTTCCAGGGCTGTAACTCTTTAGGTGAGTAGAAAGCTTTGTCTTTCCCCTGGAAAACACCTGGGGGGTTTGAACTGCTGACTTTGTGGTTAGCAACCACTATACCAGCAGAACTCTTTAAGTATCAGAATGGCAGTTGAAATCTGTTGCAAGTTATGTCCTTCCTTTGGGCAGAATCTGCCCCACCTTCCTCCCCTGCTCAGTTTCTGGTATCCTGCACTCACGAGTAACTCCCCTCCCACAGGCAAATGTTACCCACCTCCACCTCCACCTCCAGTCTCATCAAGTTGATTCTGACTCACAGAGACCCTCTCGGGAAGAAGAGAACGCTTCCGAGGGTTTTTGAGAGTGCATATCTTTCTGTGAGCACACAGCCTCATCTTTTCCCGGTAACAGCCTGTGAGCTGTTAGCAGCCTGATGCTTACCCCACTTAGCACCAGGGCTCCCTGCGACACTCCAAGTCCCACGCTTATGGCTGTCAGCAAGAATCCCGGTGCCCTCCTACAAACCACCCCCTGGCTCTTCCACGAGCACAGGCTCTAGTGGGAGAAGTATGTTCTCATACAAAGAAAATAGCCACAGAGTGCTCCTTCACACACGAGGCATTGAATGGCCATGGGCAGATGCCCAGCTATCAAAAGATAGAGCATCTGGGCTCTTAAAGGCTTGACGTTAAACAAGTGTTCATCTAGGAGAAGCAACAAGTCTACATAGAAGAAGCACACCAGCCCGTGGGATCAGGAGGTGTTGACAAATCAGGTAATAGGTACCAGAAGACCCAAAACAAAACAAAACAAAACAAAACAACATATTGTTGAGAATGAGGGGAGTCGGAACAGAGACCCCAAACTCAGCTGTAGACAATAGGAATCCCCTCACATAAGGAAGGGCTGAGTCAACCAGGGCGCAGCATAGCACTGAGGAAACACACACGATTCCTCTGGTTCTTTCCATTCAGGCTGCACCGGAGCATGTAGACTGTACAGATAAGAGCTCACGACACATGGAATTCAGGTCAGACATAGCCCTCAGGGACAGAAATGGTAGTAGCTATACCAGGAGGATAAGGGAAAGGTGGGGAGAGGAAGGGAGGAAGGGGGACCAGATCACAATGATCAATGCATATTCTCCCTCCCAAGGGATGAACAGCAGAAACATGGGTGAAGGGAGACAGCGTTGATATGCGATATGAAAACAATAATAATTTATAATGTATCAAAGGTTCACAAGTGGGGGAGGGATGGAAAAAAGGGGAGCAGATATCAAGGGTTCAAATAGTAAATGCTTAGAAAATGATGATGGCAACATATATACAAATATGCTTGATATAATATGGAATGCTTTAAGAACTATGAGAGCCCCCAATACAATAATAATAAAGAAGGCCATGAGCGAATATAGCCCCTCTCCTGCATAACTCTTTAAGAAGAGTCATGACATGTCCATTGAAAAAGAAACAACACAAAAATCCCCTGGTGAGCAGACCCTCAGCTGTTGAAAACACGGTTGAGAAACCAGCCGGGGCGTAGTCAGCGCTCCCTGGTCAATGGATTTCATTGTAGCTTGGAAAGAAGTGTGTTGGGTTCCCAAATCAGCAAAGTAAGCATGACTTCCTTGTGCTTATTTACTAATTTGTAGTGAACACTTTCACATGCCTCCCGCCGCCCACGCACCACATCAAAGAAAGATTCTGCTTCTAGAATGTGACTGGAATTGGTCCCTCCCCCAGCATCTTTCTACAGAATCAAAGCCTCTTTTCAAATTTATAATTCCTGACAGGGATGGAGTACCCAATAAGTAAGGTAAGCATGGGCTTTCTTGTGCTTATTCACTAATCTCTAGCGAACAATTTCACAGAAAATCAACAAATAAGCACAAGGAAGCCCATCCTTGCCTTGTTGATTGGCTAATCTGCTTTAGAGGGAGGCAGGGATCCAGTGTGGGACTGATGCCCAGCCTCCCACGAAGTTGAGTTTGCCTCTCTCTCTTGGTCCCTCATCTTTAAGCTCCTGCTCGGAGACAGGTTCTCTTGTCCTTTTGGCCTCAAGCCGTCTTCTTTTCTGACCCAGATGGTCCATTGTCAAGTGGCATCAACTTTTCCCTGGCCTGTCGACGTTCCAACTGGCCTAAGTTCCAACTGGACTATGGACGTTCAGGGCCCTGGCTCTTCCTTTAACTCCTCCCATTTCTCTCTTTAGCTCCTTGCCACAGAATCAAAGCCCATTCAGATTTATTGACTGCGCGACCATATGGGTCCATGGGAGAGTGAATGAATTGTAATTTTCTCTTTTAATTAAATTTTTAAAAAATCGTTAGACTGCAGAGGTGTAAAGATGAACATGATGAATAACTGCGCCCACCGCCCTTCCTCCCTCCCTCATGTAGTGACTACTTCCTGTCCCTTCTACCTCACATCCCCCTTCCTCCTTCTCAGGGAAATCACTAGCCTGAACTTGGTCATTGCTGTGAATCTCTTGATGGTCTCACTACACACACAGGCATCCCTAACAACAACAAAAATAACCTTGCCTATTTTTAAGCTTTTCAAAATTCAAAGTATGACAATGTTGTATCCTTCTTCAATAAACTTGTGTCTATAAACAAAGGTAGATTTGTAAGACAAATGCATGTTGATACATGGTACTCTTGTTCAGGCATCTTCTCTGCTGATTCCTTGTGTGATTATGTCATGACTAATTTATCCATTTTCATGTTGATAGACATCTAGCAGCCATTCCGAGTTTACACAATTACGCACAATGCTACCAGGGTCTAGGTCGCTTTGGACAGAAGGCTGCAGATTATATCCAGAGGAGGGAAGTGCTGGCTTATAGGGGATGTGGATCTTCAACTTTACTAGGATTGCCGGTTGTTCCAATTTATATTTACCTGGAAAATATTCGTCAGATGTTCCCTAAATAACTGCCACGTTAATTCCTGCTGTTCTCTGATCAGCCCTGGTGTCCTTAGAAATACCCACAAGCCGAATGAAATGTGCATTTTAAGTTTTCTTTCCATCTGCAGGGTTTATAGTTGCAGCCAACCCCTTACTTTTGACATGGGGAACTGTATCAGAGTAAGAGGATATACTATGACCCCCTCTCCCTATGGAAAGAACTTATTTTTTTGTCCTTTGACAAGAAGATCTTAAAGACCAGGAGCCATTCACTCAAGGACTTTAGAAGTAAGCATTTTGCCCTGACTTTCCTTGGTTACAAGACATATAGCAGAGCCCTCTACGTCCTCTTCCTTCCTGGAACCAAGCACAGGTGCATGCAGGGAGGAAAAACGTGCTGACACTTTGCTTGAAAATTGTGAGTCGTCTCTCCCTGGTGTGATTCCGTCCTGCGCTGCTGTGTTAGCAGTGGCAGTGGTTTACCTCCGTTTTCTGTTTCTCTCACCGAAGTGCATGCCATCCCCCCATGGAAGACTCGATGGATACGGACATGAGCCCCCTGAAGCCCCCAAAGTATCTTTTTGGTTGTGAACTAAAGGCCGACAAAGATGACCGCTTTCAGGTGGATAATGCTGAAAACGAGCACCAGTTATCTTTAAGAACGGTCAGTTCAGGTGCTGGTGCAGAGGATGAACTGCATGTTGTTGCAGCAGAAGCAACGAATTATCAAGGCAGCCCAATGAAAGTAACACTGGCAACTTTGAAAATGTCCGTACCGCCAACGGTCTCCCTTGGGGGCTTTGAAATAACACCACCAGTGGTCTTACGGTTGAAGTGTGGCTCAGGGCCTGAGCCTATTAGTGGACAGCCTTTAGTAGCTGTGGAGGAAGATGCAGAGTTAGACGATGAAGAGGAGGAGGATGTGAAACTTTTAAGTGTATCAGGAAAGCGGTCTGCCCCCATAAGTGGTAACAAGGTTCCACAGAAAAAGGTAAAACTTGCTGCTGCTGAAGAAGACGATGATGATGATTTTGATGATGAAGAAGATGATGATGATTTTGATGATGATGAAACTGTAGAAAAAGCTCCAGTGCAGAAATCTCTATGGGATACTCCAGCCAAAAATGCACAAAAATCAAACCAGAATGGAAAAGACTCAAAACCATCAACACCAAGATCGAAACGTCAAAAATCCTTCAAAAAACTCCCCAAACACGGAAAGGCCCTAGTTCTGTAGTTAAAGCCAAAATGCAAGCAAGTATAGAAAAGGGTGGTTGTCTTCCTAAAGTGGAAGCCAAATCCTCAATGACGTGAAGAATGGCTTCCGGATGACTGACCAGGAAGGAGGCTGTTCAAGAGCTCTGGCAGTGGAGAAAGTCTCTTTAAGAAAATAGTTTGAACAGTTTGTTAAAATTTCCCGTCTTATTTTATTTCTGTAACAGTTGCTATCTGGCCGTCCTTTCTTATAATGCAAGTGAGAACTTTCCCTACCGTGTCTGATAAATGTTGTTCAGCTTCCTTTGCCAAGAAGGTGTTGTCTAAATGCCTGTTTAGTTTGTAAAGATGGAACTCCACCCTTTGCTTGGTTCTAAATCTGTATGGAATGTTAGGACAGGACAGAGGAGTAGCAGTAGTCAGACAAATGGAACTGGTGGAGAGACAAAAATATACATGTGAAATAAAACTCAGTATTTTAATAAGGTAGCAATGTTTCCCTTAAAAAAAAAGAGAAAATTGTGAGTAGTCTTACAGCGGAGTTTCCGTTACATTTAGCCCTCCATTGTTATTACTAGTCAACCATGCTTAGTTTATGTAAAGTAGTTAGCATGGGGCCTGGAACAAAATAAGGACTGTGAGTATCGGCTGTTTCCCTACAAAAATAGATTACAGAATTAGCTGGTATTTCATTCCATTTCAACATTTCGTGTTTGTAATAACCTTTGTTGTTTTTCTTTTCACTTTCCTCAAAACTCTCCATGAGGAGGAACAAATAGTATTGATTCTGTGTATTTAATGGGGAAACCAATGGGGCTGCTGAACACTCTAAGCCAAGGTGCTTTGCACGGCATGTCTTCTCCCCTGCATTAGAAGGGCAGGGGGCTGGGTGGATGATTAACATTCTAATTTCCCGTCATCTCCTCCTCCTCCTCCTTCTATAACTGATAGCTATGTCCATAGAAACCCCAGATAAAACTTGGGAAACACGAACGTCTTTCTCAAAAGTGTCGATGCTAATAATGCTAAGACATGCCTTTGACAAACCCCTCAGCATGAAGAGTCATTTTGTGGCAGACTCTGGGTCCAGGGGCATGCTACTCCCCCGAGGCCCGTGATGGAGATGATGGAGGATGCAGTCCGTGGGTGAGCTGCTGACCTGACAATATTTGTTTGTGAGGTGTACGCGAACCAGTCATCCCTAGGACATTTCAGAATCTTTCAAAGGTGTAACCTGGTCTTAGAAAATGCATTTTTGTGAACAGCTTGGAGCCAGCTCGAATGCCACTCACTTAAGGGACACAAATCCTAATGAGCTTGTGTAAAGTTGATCTTCAGTGATTTACTCTGACCATTACTCTTGTCATCACCAGTAGCTGTCATTGCGGCGCTTTGTGGGAGGGTCGCCAGGTACAGTTGAGGGGCTCCTTTCCCCGACCACTGCCTTGCAGTATCCACTTGGTGGTGCCAGAACCAGCCTCCTCCTGGCAGCTGTGGGCATAGTGGCAGTTAAATGATTCTGCCACACAGATCGGTGAGGGGTCAGGGACTCCCATCTGCTCTTTTCCCCACTGAACCGTGGAGAGTGAATGACCTGGTAGAAGAACAACCTGGCAATAGGTTGGCATCGGGAGTCACGGGCCATCGCAAGTCTGGCAATATGTGTCGTGATCCCGGACTGGCTTCTTTTTGCTGTGGGATTTTCCTGTCAAATCATCTCATGTTCCTAGCATTTTAGAGTCCCCAACCCAACTCAAACCCATTGCCACCGAGTCCACTCTGACTCATAGTGGCCTGCCACTGCCATTGAGTAGATGGCAACTCAGTGACCCTGGAGGACAGGCCTCCTGTAGTGACCCTGGAGAACAGAGCTACTTTGCCCCATAGGGTCTCCAAAGTTGCGATATTGATGGAGGCAGAACGCCACATTTTTCTCCCGAGGAGCCCCTGGTGGGTTTGTACCGCCCACCTTTCACTTAGCAGCTGGATGCTTAACCTCTGCACCACCACGGGCCCCTTTGAGCTTCAGGTCCTTCCCTGGAAAGTAAAGAGGCTGGGTGAAGGATCTCTATGTCTTATCACTCCAAGGCTCAGCAACCTGGCTTCACGGAGAGTGCCAGAGGCAGGTACCGCCCTTTCTCCAGTCCGTGCATAGCCTTATAGAACACAGTGGAATGGAAAAGGCAGAGCCCCCGTGATACCACTCACAAGGACACAGTTCTACTTACCCTCCACATTCCTCAGAGGCATTTCTCAGGAGTCCAGATGTGTCTGTGTTCGGAAGAAGCATGACTGCCAATCTCCAGGTCACACGTGGTTTCTGTTCAGAGGAAGAAGCAGAATTATAGACCTTGGAGGACACCTGGTCTAAAATCTAGATGCAGTGCTTGAAAGCTAGAGGGCAAGGGAGTTTCCTGAGGTCACAAGTGGCCTGGGGTCAGGGGACTGTACCCACTGCTCTTCTAAGAAAGACAAAACACAATGAGATTTAGGTGTGGTCCATTCACCACAGGACGCTCTCATTCACTCCTCTAGCTCCATGTGATTACTAGTTTTTTGTGCCAACATGGCACCTGTAAGAAGATACGGGTGGAGTCTAGCCTGATGCTTCCTCCTTGTGGGCATGGCCTTCTCATAAGGAGGGTCCTGGGAACTCTCTCTCTCCCCCCTCTCTGCTTTACCTTCCTGCTGCTGAGTCACTTGGAGAGATGCCGGAGACACCGGAGACACTGCCATCGGATCCAGATGACTCTGCACCTACCAGTCTGTGGTCTCCCGGCCTTCTTCATCATTGCATGTGGCCACGTGAGTCGGAAGAGGGACTTATGGATTAGGATCAGACTTAGGGACTTGTTCTGGACTGGGCTGGGGTGTTTGCTTGATATATAATTACTTCTTAACACAAGCCCTCTCTAACACATCTGTGAGTGTCACTGAATTGGTTTCTCTGGTCAAGTTGGCCTAACACACCCCAATTCCCAGAATAGCACCCAGCACAGGGGTGCTCAGTTGACGAGAAGAATGGGCAGAGGGACGAATGCTGCACCAGCAGGACCACAGGTGAAGGTCATCTATCCCATTTGAGCCTTTGGTTTCAATTCTTCTTCCCTGCCCTTGATGAATTATAAATTATTATTATTTTCATATCTTCCAGTGCTGTCTCCCTTCACCCATGTTTCTGTTGTTCGCCCTCCTGGGGGGGCGGGCAGGGATGGATTATGCATTGATCATTGAGAATAGTACCCCCTTCCTCCCTTCTTCTGTCCACCTTCCCCCCACTCTCCTGGAATGCTATTCCCATTTCTGTTTGTGAGGGGTTTATCTGACGTGGACTTCATGTGTTGTGAACTCTTATCTGTTCCTGTGTGCATGCTCCAGTTTAGCCTGCAGTGAAAGGCAGGACTGAGGTCATGCTAGTGGGGGATGAGAAAGCATTAAGGAACCAGAGAAATATTGTGTGTTTCACTTGTGCTATGCTCCTCCCTGGGTGATTCCTTCCTTCCTTGTGACCCTTCTGTGAGTGGATGTCGTATTGTCTGCAGATGGGTTTTGGGTTTCTGCTCGGACCCACCTTCTTCTCAACAATATGTGTTTTTGCCCTCACTTCTTAATCTAAAGAAACCAACTTGTAAGAGAGAGGGAAGGGCCAAGGCAAGCAAGCATAGGGAAGTGTATGTTTCTGGAACAAAGCCCAGCTTTGGCTGTATATTTCAGACAGGAGTCAGAGTTAGAAGATTTGGTCCTTGGTTACCGTGCCCCTTACCCAGCAGTCAGGTCGTGCACTGTGCTCCAGGTATTTCCACTGTGTGCCTGAAAATGCTAGTTATTACTTTTCAAAGTTCCCATTGCCCTGGTGATTCATTCTTAGCTGCTGGAAAGATGAACTATCTGATAAATTATGTTCCCAAGGAGTCTCTGAGAGCTGATCAAAGTATCCAGTGTCATTTCTCTGAGAAGTATTTGCCTTTAACATATTGAGGTTTAAAGCTCTTTTCTGACACACAGCTTTCAAAGGAATATTTTAAAGACGAGGATGGGAGAGAGTTCATGTTCCCTAAGTACTTCTTCTCTTTATGGACAACTGTACTGTACATGCAGACACATATATGCACCTACATGAACATGCATGTACAAGCACACGGCCGGTGTTACATCAAAGGAAACAGGATTCCTGGCCTTAGAGCCTAATCAATTCTGTTTCATAGTATAGCAGTCAATTCTGTCTCATCTGTGCCAGGGAGATCAGGTCTAAAAATTCACACTTACATGCCTCAGCTGATCTCGTCCTTAGTCATATCCTAAATCAAGATTGTATTTACACCATCAGACAGTAAATAAATAAAAGCATTTATTTTCCTGACAGAGCTCAGAGTCCCAATGTTTTTCAGCTGATAATATATACTAAAGATGTAATTAGGAATGCGTTTGCCACTAGTAAATAATCATTGGGCTTTGACTAGGTCCAAATGGTTTTTTAAAGGGGAAAATAAAATGATGTTGCTAAAGATTCTGTTGGATTAAGTGACGGTGTTAAGTTTTACTAGAGGAATGGAAACCACCCATTGGAGTTAGTTTTATGGGCCGAGATGTCCATTTTAAAAGGGGACAATAATTTGAGGGGCCGGCTGGATTCTCCCTAACCCCGTTCGTTGAGCTTGAACTCACATAAGATTGTTCTTGCTGCTCCCCTACCCCTGCTCATCTCCTCAGGGGCTGCGTTTCCCCATCTCCACGTTGACCCAAGTCAAGGCCCCAGAGCCGCCAGCCAGGATGGGGCAGGGCGAGGATCAACTTCCTAGCTCCTCTTGCCCGCCCTCCTTGGTTCTGCCGGTCCATTTTCCACCCTGCGACTAGAGGCATTTTTTTGGAAGCACTTTGTGATCAAAGCTGAGCAAGCGCTCATCTCCAGCCCTTCAGTGGCCTCTGTACGTAGTTCTTAGGATAAAATCCTGCATGTCCTTCTGGCCAGCACACCCTGCAGAGTATCACTTCTGCCGACCCATATGCTTATCTCGTGCAATCGCCCCTAAGTGCCCAGACGATTGGTTTTTGTAGTGTTTTGGGGAAAAAAAACATTGTACACCCTGCTCAGCAAATTG